AAAAAAAAAACCAGAAGGACTTATCCGCTGAAAAGGTCAACAATCTTGTGATAATTTGTTCTCAAAACCACAGCCATTTCGGATCCAGTGATACCGCTTTTTTCATAGAGTTTAGAAAACCCACATTATCAGCGTATGAACAGTGATACTGTTACGAATTGCGTACGCCTGAATTCTCTTCCAGTCCAGACAGCGAATGTAAACCAGAATAGCATGAGTCACCTCATCTCCCGTAAATCCTTATTCTTTCGACTTTGGCTTTTTTATAAATCAAATACAGTAATTACAAAATGCTGTGTTTGCGGTCATTGCGCAATGAACAGAAAATGCTGAATCCATAAATTCCATTGGTGCAAAATTGATAAGAACGGGGTGAATCAACTAATTACTTATTAAACTAGAAACAAAATACCAACTCCTAGCATGTAGCTTCGAAAATCCAGTAAAACGAATGCAGTAACTGGAGAAGTTTGCTCAAATCAGGCATATTAAAGTGTCTACTTTACAGCAGCTTCTTGATTTCAGATAACTTGAGACCATTGTAAACTGTCAAGGCATTCTCCAGATATAAAAGCACAGATTTATAAATAATCCCATAACCGAGACCGCGAAGGTGGGGAGAAGCCACTGTCAAATTGCGCGGACAAGCAACTTGCATAATTCATAGCGCGTCACTCGTAGCCGACTGGAACTTTAGATACAAGTATTGATCATAGAAGATTAAAGAAAAAATGTTGAGATAGTTCAGCGGTTTGAACATTTCATTCTTATTTAGATTACATCGAACTGACCAGGTTTTGAGCATTGACTGAGTCGAAGCACGGACAAAAATTTCTGAATCCCTATCGAAACCTTGGTCAACCATCAATCTGTGTAAGCGCTCTACTTCGCCAACTGATCCTGAAAAGAACTGGGTTGTAAAACATGTAAAATCCACTACACTGTCCTCATTTACACTTACCAATAGAACTCGAAATTGTATAAAGCTGATGAAGCATCAAATTTTGTGCTGACGAACTGCCACTGGTCGCTTAAAGTTAATCATAATCGTAACTCGCATACCGGCATCAGTGATAGACTCACGGGATCTAACAAGAAACATATTGCGAAAAATTCGCAAAGCGTCCATTGCAGCATCAACTGATCCAGAGTCGCAGGCTACTCGACAAGCTAATCGGATACCGTTCACATCGTGGAGAAAAGCCCGACGATTCGAAGCGGCACTGAGATTTCCATGATCAAAGAAACAAACTTGTGGATAAAATGAAAAATATTACAAGTGTTACGTACAAGTCGCGAAAGAAAAGCATCGCTTCATCTGTATCCTGACAATCTCGAATAACAAGCTCGAAAATTTTGTCAAGGTGATGGCCAATGCTACGATGGTCAGGCCAACTCTTTTCCATTAGTATCGCACGAAGTGTAGAGAAATCCTGCAGTTTTCAAGTATGAAAACCAGGTACAACATTTTCAACTTATAATGCAGAATTCTAAGAAAAAAAACCAATTGTTATGCTCTTCAACAGAACCTCTAAAACTAAAGTATAATTCATAGTGTACTATGCCAAAGAATTCCCTCAAATTTTTGAAGTAAACCGGCAAACCTGATTGTCGACAGCTGATATGATCTCATGAGCAGTAGCTTTAGATGAACGGTGGACATCAGGATCAAAACGTACGAAACTGTCAAACTTTGATGGTGAAGGAGGACATTCGTAAGCGGATGGAGAAGTGTCTTGAAAAAAGTAAAGAGATTATAGAGGAATAATGAAAGGTCTCAAGTACAACGCACCTATCGATGTAGACAATGACGATGCACTTCTTCGTTGTCGTCTTTCGCTTTCCGAGATCACGCGCCTTGTGCCTTTTCTGTAAGCTCCGCCCTCATATTCGGGTACAGGACGATCTTTCACTGTAGTTGACACTTGCGGGGCGGAGGATAGAGACGTACTAAGGAAATTAAGGCTTTATCATAATCATCAAAACTGCAGTAACTCTCTTACCTTGTACTTTCACTTCCGCTCATGCTACTGAGGACAGCGGAGACGTCGTAACCCTCATCTAATAATTCCTCCAATTGCTCAAGCTCTCCGCTCTCTACAAACCCACCCAGCTCCGATGGATCAGCTGTGGTTGGTATAGAAGAAAAATTGACTGCATATGATACATCATGGCTGAAAAATGACCAGTGATTTAAAAATAGCACTAGAAGTACCAGATCCAACCTTAGCAAGTGATCCATAAAAGTTCTTCCATTCAAAACCAGTAACGAGTCAGTAGTTCCGTTCCGAGAAAGGAGGCCGAAATCATCGAAAGATTTTCTGAATAACAAAAACCAGGGTGCATACAATGAAATAATGAGACCAACAGGAGGTTGATTAATAAAAATCCTGGATGGACTTGAAATTTGCGTTGAAAAAGAAACAGATTAGACATAAAGATTAGACCTAGAATAAAAATTAAAATAT